AAGCCCCCCCTCCCGAGAAAAGTTCTAGTTACGCTAATGTTTCACCCAACTTGAGCAATATTGAACTTTTGGAGATGATGAATCTAACCGTGAACATCTCCAATTCATTTGTTGACAGATATTTTGAACACCCTATACTAGAACATATACAGAATTAAGTACTATTTTATTTTATGGAATATCTCCGAAATAATAAGTTTTGGGTAGAGAGAAGTTATCGAGAACTATGTAGAGCTCATTTTCATCATAGAATTGAATTATGAGAAGAAAAAATGGGGTTTCCATTTGAAAAAATTGAGATACTCAATGTTTCACATTAACTTTTTGTATCCACTTTTCTGCGCATCCTGTGAATTATTCAGTGGTTGTGACTTGTGATTATAATCAGTGATCCGTTCAACCTTCAATATTTACGATTTAATCACTGCATATATCACTAAAAATTGCAATTCACTTATAAATGGCGTATATGTCTGATGCCTAGATGTCTAGAAAAACTGGAATAACTCAAGAACGGTTGATTTCATGTATATGCATGGTATGATACATAAATTTGAATCAGAATCATTATAGGAATTTAAATAATTTTAAAATACAGGGTGTCCTATAAAAATGAAGATGTCGTCACTTCCGGAAAAATCAAATGCTAACAATAACAAAAATATTTTACGAATTTTCAAAATTGTGCTATATATCTCTCTCTATAGTTTGCAATTCATTAAGAATAGGAAATCTCTGAACTACAGATAGTAAACACTAAAATGGATGTTGCTGGTATAGGTGACAGAGGGCGGGGTGTCCTACTGTCCTAGGGAGACATTTTACTTTAAAATTTCTCAATAACTTTGTAAATTTCAACAGTATGAACATGACATTTGAGTTTATGATTTTCTGACATGAGAAATACGGAGTTGCAACTTATTTTGTGATTGCTCATAGAGGGCGCTGGTGGCAATCGATTACTTCGGTAAATTATGTAATATTTTCTTCGTCCATTGAATGATGATCAAAATAAGTGAAAAATCTGAAAGCCCGTTCAATTTTACATAAAAAATTTACTCTTTTTCAAATTGTCTAGCTCTAACGGTTTTTGCGTTATGCGCTCTTGAAGAGATTTACGAGGAGATTTATGTTTCACTTATAACATATTATTTTAATAATTTTGAATTATAAAGTTAGCTAAGTGACAGTAGAAAAATGACAGTAATCACAGTAACAATGCCAACAACAAACAGAATTTCGAAGTGAATGCTCGACCAAAGTTAAGCAAAAATATCGAATAAAATCTTCCCTTGAACACCCTGTATCTGCAACATTTCTATGAAGCATGTTGGGTTAACTCTTCATATTTTGGTGTTTACTATCTACAGTGTGTCCATTTAGTGCGTAATTCTTCGATATCTCGAAAGCCATAACCTATAGAGAAAAAGTTTGGAGGAAAAACTTTTTCAGTTACTGGAGTTGCTCATTTCAAAAATATTTTCAACATTACTGGGTGTTTTATAAAAGCGGGGCAACTCGTAGAAGAAATGTTTTAAATGGAACGCCCAGTATTGTTCATTCGGAATTAATTCCGCCGAGGTTCACCTTCACATCGCTGTAAAAAGAATTGAAATCGGTTGCGGCGTTGCCGAGTTGATAAATCTATTTTCACCATTATTGAAGAGTCATGTTGAATTGGGCATGGTATCTTCATTTATTCAAATTTTTGAAATATTTTTGGCATACGGTAGGAGCAAGGTCCCACGAATACCAATCCAGTGATTTTGCGACATATTCTTCAACAGGGTGCTCAATTTTGCATTTAGAATTTTGCAAGATTCAGATGACATTCATCAAAATTTTTCAAATTGTACACCCTGTATTTTTATTTAAAAATTCATTCCGACATCTTTCGCCTTTTTATCACTGGAAAAAAAAATCGAAGTCGGTTGCGGCGTTGTCAAGTTATTTATTTATTTTATTTATTTAATATTAATACATCCAGCAGGCTTACGCCCATTTACAGGTGTATGTAATAATACATGGTTATTAGTTGGATCGCTAAAAATATATACCTATATCTATACATAACTCGAAAAGAATATAAACTTATATATATATAAACTAGTTCCTCAAGGCACTAAATAGTCTATGCTTGAATTGAGACAGCGAGAGAAAAAATATATCAATACTTTGTAAATTGTTGTAACTTCGGCACATTGTTGTAAGGGGACAATGGAAGTGATGTTGTGTGTTGGCCACAGCAATGCGGAACGTTATATCTGATCTTGACACGGATCGTGGTACATTGAAATCAATCAGAGAGAGTAATGAGGATGAATCGATATGATTATGGATTATTTTATGCATAAAAGTTAAATCGATTATTTCGCGATGTTTTTTAAGAGAAAATAAATCGAATTCGTTCAGCAATAGGTCATAGGTTATGGATAATTTCCTTATTTTCACTACTATTTCGGGGTAATTTGTACGTCATAGTTCTTTCATTTATTTGTATTGTGGAAATATTGCGTTGGTATGGTATAATCAAATTTGTTCATTGACCATTCATATATTTTTTCACAATAGGAACATTTACAGGCTCTCCAAGTTTGAATTTTTTCCGGAATACACTTATATTTGTGTAATGACCTGTCAAACATCGCCACAATCAAATATATCTTGGATTGATTCGAAATTTTGATGAATTTCCTCCCAAAAGCCGCGTAGTAGAGACATATTGTTTGTATCATTATGTTTACCTCCTTCAAGTTAAATGGAGATTTGGATTGTGGGAATAACGACAATAAAAATGGCCAAAATTTCAAAAAATTGTCCTAAATTTCGCAATCGACATCTTCATTGTTTGTATTGTAAAAGTTGTTTCAAACACAGGCGTCGCTCTTGGCATGTTTGTTTGTTTCAGATATTATTTAAATCATATATAAGTAACAAGATTACGGAATATTTCAAATTTGGACGATGCACATATCGCAAAAATACCTGAATGATCTATGTAGAACCTCGAATGTCATGTGGCAAGCAATATTCCCACATTCAAATCAAATAAAGGAACCATCATGACGTACAAATTACCTCGATATAGTAGTAAAAATAAGGAGATCACTCATAACTTGAAATCGCCGCAACAGATTCTGATTTTTTCTTCAGCGATGAAAAGGCAAATGATGTCGAAATAAATCTGTGATGGAAAATACAGGGTGTGCCATTTGAAAAATTCTTATGATCGTCGTCCGAATCTTACAATATTCAGAATGTAAATTTTAGCACCCTGTAAAGGATTATCTCGCAAGATTACCGGATTGGTATACGTAAGACCTTGCTACTACTGAATGCAAAAATATTTTCGAAATTTCAATAAATAAATATACCATACCCAATTGAACATGACCCTTCAATAGTAGTAAAAATGGGTTTATCAATTATAACTAGGCAACGCCGCAACCAAATTCAATTTTTTTGACAGCGATGTACAGCTGAACCTTAGCGGAATGAATTTCGAATGAACAATACTGGGTGTTCCATTTAAAAAAACTCGTCTTTGAGTTGCCCTGCTTTTATAAAACTCCCAGTATCGTTGGAAATATTTTTGAAATGAGCAACTTCAGTAACTGAAAAAGTTTTTTTCAAAGTTTTCCTCTTGTGATGATTGATTTCGAGATATCGAAGAATTACGCACTAAATGGACACACTGTATACTTCAGAGATTTTCCATACTTAATGAATCACCCTATCGGTCGCGTTAACTCATGAAGATATACCCAGTAGGTATATATCGTTTCTGTAACCATTGATTAATGTATGCTGTAAACTATACTATTGGACAAAATATTAGACCCAAAATGTAAGCAATCTTGAAATATCAAGGGCTGTTCCTCTGCCTGCCTATGAGATGTGTGAATCTATTATAATTTATAACCATAATACGGGTGTCAGCGAATCTATTATTTAGACAAATCATAACTTCTATAACATCAGGTGTATCAAAATGAGATTTGGTACTGTCAGTTTAAATACAATATCACCTCTGAATCTTCAAAACTGAATTGATTTGATTCCTTACAAGGACTGAACGTCACACTTTCTTTTTCGTTCCAGGACTTCTGTGGTTTATAGGACTAAATCGGTATATATATCGGTAACGCGAAATCGCCTAGCAATAAACTATAGTCTGATTTTGTAGAGACGTCATAATATTATTATGACCCCCAGAGGTACGTCTTAGAGTGATGTCGGAAATTGGTGGTGTGCTGGTGTGACGCTATTGACGATATGTTGATATGTATATTACGTTTCAACAAATACGTCCTAGTGACGTCACTAACTAGTGAAGTGAAGTTACTGACCAAGTCTCATCAAATTATTGGTATATAAGCACTACCTTCCCAACGACGTGATCTTTCGTCATCTCTGGTTGTCTGGATAACCAGCTTACTGCCATAAAACGAAAGCTCATCCATTTACAAGATCGACCAGGGTCCCATGAAGCGTGCATATATTTCCGGACATAAGTCGATGGATGGATGACAGTGTGAATCATTCTGCGCTTTGAGCAGAAGCGTTTTCAGACGAGCAATTTGGATGAGATTTTTGGGTTGTTGGGTGTTGGTATATAACATATAGAATAGAATAGAATTCTCATATCGCCAGAGCTACCACCATACCACACAAAATTAAAATTTATAAAATAATATTGATGTAAACAAACAAAATTATAATAAAAATCATCACAGTTCATAGCAGTCTAGATATTTGGTCACGAGTTCGGTTATGTGGAACACATCACCTCCTCGAAAACACAAGTATCACGAAAATATTGTCGTGATGTAAACCAACAAAATTAATGAAAATCATCACAGTTCATCGCAGTCTAGATATTCGGTTATGTGGAACACATCAACTCCTCAAAAAACACAAGTCTCACGAAAATATTGGGCAGTACCCGTATACATGCATCCATAGCTAGTGAACTGAAACGTATCAATTTTTTTTTAGTCATGTCGTTTCCTACGAAAGAGGAGCGCACGCAATGTTGGAGCGCGCGCGATTCTTATTGGGAATGTCTGGACAACAACAAAAACAACACCAAAGACAGCATTTGCATGGAGTTCCGAAAAATGTACGAGAAATGGTGTTCTCCACAGTGGGTCAAGCATTTTGACAGGAAGAGGAATTACTTGATCTTCAAAGAAAAAATCGAGAAAGACGGGTATGAGCCATTGAATGAAAACAAGTGATTTTTTTAATTTGTTGTAAATAGTGTGTTTGAATAAAAGATTTTGTTTGCTAGAGTGAGTTGTGTTTCTTTTAACATCCTTATGTTTTCTTTCAGAATACCAAGTAAAGAAAAAAATGATAGCTCTCTTAAAAAACCTAGGAGAGTATACCATCAGATTAGTGTGTTTATGAATATTTGAAAGCAACAATAAAATGAATACTCTGAATCTCTTTAATATTATGTTCTTTTTGTGACTGTGATATCAGTATATCAAAATTTAGTGAATAAACTCTTCACTAATACAGTGAATTCACTTTATTTAAACATTTAAATAAACTACGCAACACTAATTTCGTCGCACCCAAAAGTTTTGTCCCTGTTAAAATATGAATAACTTTTTTCTGCTTTGAACAATTTGAATTCGGATCACACTGTTCGCTAGCTATAATTTTGTACTTCTTTGAAACATGAGGTTCTTCATACAGGGTGTGACAAAAACTGTGAAAAATTTCGTAATTTTCAGAAGGATCCCAAATGAACAAAACTTTTTTTTTAACTTCGACAGCAGAGGCATGAAGATGATCACATTACCTAGGGACATTTTTCAATTTGTCTTCTTATCTCTTTTATTTACAAAGTGATCTCAAAAAATTAACTTTCTGGTTTTGAACTTTTTTTCTTGTAAAGCCGTTTTTAAAATTTCATTTTGAAGCTGAAAATTCAGATGAAGATCAGAATTGACTCCAGATGAACATTATACAGTGTGTCTCTCATCTAATAGAAGCACCCCTGTATGTTTCATATTTGTTGAGTTAGGATTCTACTTTATTCCAGATTTTTTGGGATTTTCTTTTAGGCTCTCTGATAGGAAAATTCTTTGAACGCAGTGTATATTGAAATATTATTCATATTTTCATTTTATAGAAACGAGAGAAAATCCCAAAAAATCTGGAATAATGATTGTGCCACCTCCTCAATTAACCTACAGACAGTGTTTTAGGATTCTGAAACTTACAGGAGCGGGATGAGGTATACTGAAAATAAACACTATGACCATGGAGTCATCTCCAGTTATAAACAATGCTTGCCAAGATCCATGGAACCACCCAAATTTCCGAAAAATGTTATAAGGAGCCAAGATAGGTTGGAAATCACTTCGGATTCGAAATCAGGACGTCCAATTCACTGACTATACACCCTGTCCCAGCTAAAATGTCCCCCCCCCCCAGGGCCGTTCCTACCCGGGGGTGCGAGGAACCAGGGCGGCAAGGTAAGAAGGGCGGCGGCGGCGATATTCCATATCACAGCCGCCTTGTATTTACAATGCCGCCCCGCCACTATATTTGGTCCGATCACCGATGTGTCCGATGTCGGTGAATTCAAAGCTGTCGCCGACACTTGAACTCGCCGACTCAATATCTGGAACTATTGCCACAGCATATCCCTATCTCACCGCCAAATGTATGGCGGCATAAGAAATAAGAGTCATTCTAAAAAAATTTAATAAACAAAATAAACCATTGCTGTCGAAGACGGAGACAGAGGTCAAGCTGAAGAATTGTCGGAAACGACGGAAAATGTGGTGTTTGTTGCGACTGCGTCTGTACAAGAAAATAGTGTTGAAGCTGAGGACCATCATGATGATTGTGCTATTGAACTCAAAAAAATTTATGATCTTGCAAAGTGGCCAAATATCATTAGCAATAATTTGAAAAAATTAATCGTGAAGAAAGGTTCTTGTCAAGTTAGGAATGTAATTTTTCCTAAAGATAACCACGGGAGAGCCTTTTCAGAGAATTATTACGTCAAAAGATTGCATAACGGTGAGTCTGTACTGCACAAAAAACTCGGAGCTATACAAATTGTAATGCGCTCTTAATATTTGGTACATTTTATCGAATGTCAATGTTGTCAGTAAGATTTTGCAAGGCGTTAATGTTAACTTACACGTTGCAGTAGAGCATTTAAGTAAAATGAAACGAATAATACTTATCAACATTTCGAACAGATGAACATTTTACGTTAACCATAGATGAAGCATCTGAGTTGGCCAAATGTCTTTGAAATGAAAATCAATTTCCTTCAGAAAGCCAGGTGAGGAGAAGAAAAAATAAAAGACAATTTGATTATGAAGGCGTTGATGAGAGTATCAGCAGTCCGGAAAATTGCTTCAAGGTGATTTTTTTTGCAGTACTAGACACTGCGTCAAATGCTTTAGCGGAGAAGTTTGAACAGTTTCAGGCTTATACAAATATTTTTCAATCATTTGAGCGATTTTTGGAATTTGACAAAAATGACAAAAGATGATTTGAAAATATTTTGTTGTGAGTTAGAGCAGAAATAATCTGATGAAAATGATGATAACTGTAAAAAAGATGTCACAGGACTTGACCTTTCCAATGGAATTGAAATTATTTTCAATTTCATTAATGTCTCAGAAGTATATATATTCACCTGAAAGTGTTCTAGAATATATTTTAATAAACGTTCTACAGAGTGCTTTTCCTAATTCAACCATAGTTTTGAGAATTATGTTAACTCTGCCTGTCACTGTAGCAAGTGGAGAGCGCTCATTCTCAAAGTTGATAAAAAACTCCTTACACACAACTATATGTCCCAAGAGCGATTAAATAATTCAACAATCGCATTACTATTGGCAAGGTGATCGACCGTTGGGGGCGCTGTTTCAAAACAAGATGGCGGCAAAGAGTGAAGAGTGTGTTGTTTGTTTACAAAATTTCTTGAGATTTGCATACATTTTCTTCTTGATATTTCCTCATGTTATTTGTGTTGATTGATGAACTTTTTACTGAAATCATAATATTTTTTGTTGGATCATACTGTTTCATTGTGATGTGAGGAAAATAACTGTTACCTACTGACTGAATCGTGGACCAAATAGTCTGAGCTTTCTTCAAACCAGTGCATTTCTGTGGGACAGCTTTATGGGATATCAAAAATCACAAGCATATCCACTATCATCAGAAGCTGATATATTCACCATCATTCCTCTATAACTCCAGTCTTCAAGCAAAAGGATCCTGCAGACCACAAATGGTGATACCAGGAGTGCACTTTTTCAACAGTGAACATATTGAAAACCATCCCTAAACCAAAGCTTAAACAATGTGTTAACCTATTGGACTATTTTTTGCTAAATATTATAGCCATCAGAATTATGTGCAATTGATCCATACAATAGAAATCAGTAGCAACCAGCTCTAATGAGTCTAAACCAAGAAATAGTTCAACACCAAAGGCATCCTGACATTACTGTGGATTCAATAGTAGATACAACTATCAATGGCCTATCTTCAACAATATTACTTCCAGGCTTTGAGGATTGTTTACAGTGCAACTCCCATACCTCATATATTATGGTGCTCCACTGCAATAACAGCAAATTGTCATGATCCTATGTGCCATGTGTGTGAATTGTATTCATATAACAAACTTTTCAAAATGTGAATATTCCTAATATACTTAGAGTTGAGGTAGGTGGCATCCTAGACTGAGTTTTCTTCTTGGAATTCATTTAATTAATATCTTGTAAAGCTGGTTTTTTTTACCATATTGATGAAATCATTGAATAATTTGGAATTCCACCACATAAAACATTGATCAAATGACCTAGGATTTCAGTTAAGGTAGAAGTAAAGGTAACAATTTTGCGTTTCTCAGCTGTAAGATGGCGCTAGTGCGCTGGGTGTTACTTAATTTATGCAACTAAAATTACACAACCCCTCCCTCCCGACACACTTCTGGTCGGTAATTTCTGCAGAAACCTTTCCTAGAACATAGATAGCCCGTACAGCTTTCTACTTGAATCCCTACCAAAATCGTGCCGACTGCAGAGCCCGCGTAGCCAATGAATAAAGTGTTGCCAAAACTCCAAAACGTCGTAGAATTGCGACATTAAAGATTCTCGTTATGAATTAAACATAAAACGGATATTCTGGAAGTTAATAGACGATTCTCACAGTTTTCTGTGATATTCATGAATGAAAATGTATTTGAAAATTAATTACCGACCTGGATGTTTGGAAGACAGGGAGAGCGTATATTCAATTATTTTTATTTTCCACACAGAAAAAAACTTCCATTCAAAGAAATATGTATCTGGAGAAATTGTGATTTGAGATATAGCCAAGTAAATATTGTCCTGAAACAAAATATGTTCTTGTTATATAATTGTTCGAATACCAGGTACTTGTAAAAAATAAGTTTTTCCTATATTAATTCATCACAAGATCTTATTTAGCTCCACCTGTTATTTCTATCTAGATTTATTCATTATTTTTTTCCCAATTATTCCTATACGGACAAAATTTTGCAAGTGAAATTTAACACATTTCTAGTCGTCCGATCGACTTGAGGTGTTCATAATTCTGGTGACACTATACACATACAGTGAGGGGCAGAATTATGGAATTAATTCATTTATTCAAGAATTGGCGAATTTGGAGAGAAATCTCGAAACAAGCCGATCTCAATTTTCAAATTATGATTTTGTGTTTGATATATCATACTAGTGATCTTATCCATCTGGGCGTGATGACGTAATCGATATTTTCTTAAATGATAATAGGGGACTTGTGATAGCTCATTCGAAAGCTTATTGAATTCTCTATTCAGTGATATAAACTGTAACATAATTATTCATACAGGGTGGCCAAAAAATATTTAATTTTTAATTAAATTAATTTATTCCAGAATATCAGAATAACTCTGGAGACAAATCTCAAAATAGGTCGATTCTTATTTTCAGATTATGATTTTGTCATGATCATACTAGTTACCTTATCCATCTGCGCCTGATGACGTAATCGATGATTTTTTAAAATGAGAATAGTGTTCTTATTCGAAAGTCTATTCAATTCTCTTTCTACTGACAATCAAAATTGTACATATATAGATAGACCACAAAATTAACAAGATTTATGAAATAGAATTAGATTGGAATTTCGTAATATAACTCCAGAAATGATCCATACAATATACGAGAAAAATGTCTTCCTCGGGTGGCAATTTAAACATTTAATTTGAGAGGATAGCAATTTTTTATTTGTCAAACAACGAAAATTTTTTTCTTTTTACTGACATTATTACAATTGTAAAGTATGGTAAAGTATTTGCAAAAGAATGGACACATAATGACACGAAGACACTGCGAGCACTGGAAAACGAATATCTAATGGTGAATCCTTGTCTTGAAAAATGTCAAATAATGGTAATTATCTGGGAATAAAATGTTTTAAATGAATTTCATACCTAGTTCTTGTTGTAAAAATTGATTTCATTTGAGAATTGTTTATTTTGACCACCGTCCATAAATAATTATGTTGATGTTTATTACACTGAATATAGAATGGCATAATCCTGCAAATGAGCTATCACACAACCCTCATTCTCATATAAAAAATCTTCGATTACGTCATCACATCCAGTTGGATAAGGTCACTAGTATGATAAATATCAACCACAAAACCATATAGTTCAAAAATATTACCTAATCCAGAATGGCGGCTTCGAGTAGAGCTGTTTTTTCAGTGTATTTTATCTATTCGCGGATGGGGAATGAATCTTGGGGGAGCCATTCATTTATATATGTGGTCAGTGAGACCGTGATTGTTCCCGTAACGTCAAAATAATATTGTTTCACGCGGAATAGTTAAAGTTACTCCTATCATTGTTTGTGTTTGTGATCATCATATAGTGGATAACGGTTTGAATATTTAATAGAACAATTTTAGTGTGTTGGAATTTTTTGAAAAATGCCTCGAATCTTTGTGAAGAATTCGCGACGCGGTTTGCATCTTAAAAGGTAAATGTTTCATTGTCAATATCGATATTAACTAGTTAAGTACCTACTTCATTGACTTTTATTACAGAGAACACAAAAATACGGAGGATGAGCAGGTTCAAAAAAAGATTTCATGAGCTGCTAGGCTCGCTGCTAAGTGAGTTTAATTAGCTTGTAGATACGTACCTATATGGTAGATATAAAAAAATTAGAAAGACAGAAACTGCTGAAAATGCTGGTTTTGGGGTCGTAATGATTCAAAAATAATAATTATCAACAGACATTGTGAAAATTTCAAGTGATTTAGATATACCTGTCATGTCCTATACCCTCCTATACCTAACACTGTGACCTAACTACCGCCCTTCTTATACATCCAGTTCACAGATCAATCGAACGAAAGAACGTTGATAATAATTACTGGTAATACCTATTAGGGTTCAAAGAACGAGAAGACGGGTCACTCAAAAAATCGTCAGTCGGCGTGGTTCAGCCTGTGGTTCAGCCACACCCGAGCATTTTTTGCAATTCCTAGAAGTGAGCCGGTAGGCTGAATAATAATATACAGGGTGTCCGGAAATAACTTTCGACAAAATTCAGGGATGATTCTACATGATAAAATATTGATTTTTTTCCGGACCTGCGTCCGGGAATGCATAGTTTTTATCAACATCTCAAATCACTAATATGCTTTGGTCGATTTCGTTAAAATTCAGCAGTGCTGTTTCTTGAAATGAGGAAAAAATTTAGCCATGATGGGATTTATTAAGTACATAATTTTTTGGAAATAAATTCTTCTTCTGGAAATAAAAATGGGTATTTCTATTCACAGAAACTAGTAAAAATTGAATGAAATTGAATATTTATTCGTTTTAATGATATATTCATAAAAGTTTGACAAACTCTTTAGTCTTTTTTGTCATGTAGAAACACCCCAAATTATTCGAACCGTATTTTCGGACACCCTGTATATAAATGTTTCAATTTTTTGACCTAAATAGATTCAATATTTTCTCCGCCATTGTTCATTTTCTACAAGATGCCGTCATCAGATTTTCGATCCGACGTTTCGTTTTTCCGTAACTATCATCAAATAATACTGATGATGATTTTCTTGTCCGAAACGTCGAATAAATTTGAAGTGCAATGTCGTTGGATTTAGAATTACAATTAGAGTACTTCAGGTTCTAAACTAACTTTTACGACTATTTATAAAAACAATGTTCATGGTGGTTGCTCGTATACGAAACGTTAGATCAAAAATCTGAGCAGAACAGAAAAAGTGGCAATGTTAATGTGAAATTCAGTTTATCATATCACTTCAAATGAAGTCAGGAGAAAAATAAAAACGAATTCGCGGATTTTTCGGAGTATTCGGAATTCGTGAATTTTCAAGGCGTCATTTTGATGTGCATCAAATTGCGCAACTTTTTCCTGATTCAACCAACTTCGTATCTGTTATGATTTCCGAGATACAAATGATACGCTTCGAATTTGGGATACACTGTACATCGTCCATATAGTTTGCCCCTTCAATATCAGCATATTTATTATGCATCCTAATGAAGACTGACATGTTTCTCCTCTCCTGATACTTGTAGAATGAAATATCATTAAATAATCAGAAAATGCAAGTTCTGAATACTTCTCTGATTCTTTTGTTTCCCACCTAGATATTAAAAACGAAATCAAAAATATTCTTAAAACAGTATAAACATCAAACTATCAATCATTTTTATTTTCATAAATAGGCACTGAAATTCTATTATTTTCGTCTTACGTTATACACTGTTGATGACCCCAGAACAAGTCGAAACGGCTGCTCACTGTTATTCAATTTTCTATACCTACTATAATTTTCATTTGAAAATATGAATACTTGCTATTTTTAACACTTCTTTATATTTTAGCATTTCGTCGCAGGTCCATTCAAAGGATGAAAATTTGACATCTTCGGATAATAATGTTGCTGAAAATTGCACACCTCTGAGGAGGTCGTGGTCTTTCGATTCTGAGTCTTCTGAGTCTTTGCCTGAATTAGAAATTGAAGTTGTTAGACTCCCTGGACAGTTCGATCCGAAAATAAGAAATATTAGTGGAAGACGTATAATTGATATTTCTCATTTTATAACGGAAGTGAGACGTCTAGAAAATCACGTGTGCCATGTAAAACCAACTGGTTATTTGAGTTTCGATAGAGAACAGAAAATCGGACTTCATTCAAAACTTTTTTTCAAATGCGCAGCTTGCGGTCATAGTACATCGATAACCACAAATAAGCCAGATAAAAGTGAACCCAATGCAAATTTTCTGGCTTCATGGGGTGCTTTAGCCAGTGGAAAAGGCCATTTCTTCTTAGAAGAATATTTATCACTTCTTGACATACCTCCGTTGACAAAACCAACTTTTTTAAAGTATCAACAAGAATTAGGTGATTCATGGAATGAGTGTTTAACAGATTCGATACAAGCAGCAGGTGCAGAAGAGTATAAGTTTGCCGTAGAATCCAATAATATGGCAGAAGGAAACATTGGTCAATGTACAGTAGTTGTAGATGGAGGGTGGAGTCATAGATCGTATGGGCACAGATATACTTCAAAATCTGGAGTTGCTTGTATCATAGGAAAACATACAAAACAACTCCTATTCATTGGCGTCAGAAACAAGTATTGTAGTGTATGTGCTATTTCCGAAAGAAAAGGAGAGGAGGTGCGCCGTCATAAATGTTTCAAAAATTGGTCTGGCTCATCACCTGCAATGGAAGCAGATATCATCGTAGAAGGATTCATCCACAGTCAGTCGATGCATAATCTTCAATATACCGCATTCATTGCAGATGGGGACTCCAGTGTACATTCGAAGATTCTAGAGCACGTTCCATATTCTCGAAAGATTAAAAAAATTGAATGTGCTAACCATCTGACGAAAAATGTAACGAAGCACCTACATGAACTTGCCAAAGAATCTTCTGCTAATAGGAAGTTGTTGTCCAGCAATAGGATAAATTACATAGGAAAGAGCTGTAGGAAACTTATATCCATACACGCTCGAAAATCAACTCCTTGTGTTGCAAATTTGAAACATGATTTGCAGAATGTTGTCAGTCATGTATTTGGAAATCACAGAAATTGTAGAGCCGAAAACTGTTTGAAAGTAGGTCAATGTAATGAAAATGATTTTCAAAAAGCTTCTACTGAAACGCAATTGCGCATAATGAGGATTGTAGGGAACTTGACCTCTAAGGCTGACAGCCTAATCACCGATTCAACTAGCAACAGTGCAGAACAGTTCATGCGACAAGTTGCTAAATTCAATAGCGTCAAACAAACTTTTTATGGACGCAGAAATTCATTCAACATAAGGTGCCATGGTGCTGGCTTGGCATATCAGTTTGGACCACGTTGGATGATCGAAGCTTTCAAGCATAAGTTCAAAAAGAGTCCATCGAATATACTAAAACGGTTAGTGAGGGAGAGGACAAACAATAATTTTCTTGGTAGATCTCGCCGGAAACGATTGTTCAATGTAGAAGCTAAAATTTCTGATAAAAATTGTGATTATGGTGCTTCATGCAACAAACCCGATTTACCTGATGAAGAAATACAGAATTTGATAAAGGAACAAATCAAGATTTTGAACATAACCTGTGAAGAACAGATGGCAATCGAAAAATCCACTCGTGGTCAAAGTGATAATCCCAAATGGTTTGAGGCAAGAAAATCACGACTCACGGCATCTAAGTTCGGAGAAATTTGCAAGCGCAGGATTAATCACGGAAAACTCGTAGAATCTATGCTATACAAGACCTTGCCACGAATGAAGCAAATTGAATATGGAAAAATGAATGAATCAGTAGCTATAGAAGCATATAGTTCGAAAGTAGGAAAATATGTCAGCCCTTGTGGTTTATTTGTTTGTACCGATCAAGGTTACGGGTTTCTGGGTGCTTCCCCGGATGGATTGGTAGATCATGACAAAATTATTGAAGTCAAATGTCCCTACTCAGCCAAGGATTATACTCCTTTAGAAGCTGCGAAGTATTTAAAGAATTTTTATTGCAGATTGTCTGAAGATGGGACACGTATGATGTTAGATAGGAAACATAACTATTTCTATCAGATACAGGGGCAAATGTATATTTGTGCAAGAAAACTCTGTGATTTCATAGTCTGGACTCCCAAGGGAATTCATGTCGAAACAATTCAGATCGATAAAAAATTTATAGAAAATATGATGTCGAAACTTAAACAATTTTATTTCGATCATTATGCAGTGGAATTAGTTGATAGTAGACATGAGAGAAATATGCCAATTCGATGCTACTCTAAAATGAGAAATCAAACTGAAGATAAAATAAAGAACTAAGAAATCATTTCATTCAATTATGCTCAGAGATTGATTTTTTGAGAAGGACCCAACCTGAATAATATCTCAGAGAATAAAACAGATTACATCAATCAGACCTGAAAATTGTACAGCTGAATCCCTGATAAAATAATCTATCCAATGAGGTATAATAAGGTGTGTTCGTTCCTTTCGAGACTTCATAGGGGTGAAATATAGAGCTAAGGGTGTCAGACTCGATCTTATCGATACGTCAAAAGACGTCCTTCTTTCGATAAAAGTGACATGTTCCAGTATTTTTTATTACTGTCTTATTTACGGAGATATTCAGGATGGGTCCTTTTCAAACAATGACCCTGTATATTGATGATTATGATGTATTGGAAATTGGCGATTGTGTGCGAGATTAGAGAAAGGTAAAATGGAGAAATTATCTTGAAAAAAAAATGATGAATTCCTGAACATGCGATGTTTGGACAAAACTTGCGTAATTTGAACCTCATCAATATGACGTTTTGCAATCTGGACAAATGTCAGCCGTTCCTGAAATATTCTGAAAAAACTGAAAATCACTGATATCGTTTTTATTTATTTTCTTTGTTAATATTAGAGGTAGAAATTTGAAATTTTGCTCAAGCATTTAGTTAACTAAGACAAAGGAGTTGAAATCATCAGAAATACTCTATCTTCATTAGTTTCAGAGATAGCGTATATATACATAGTAATATTGTCCCTATTAAATCGTCCGGACCCTGTATATCGATATTACTCTTTTAATGATGAAAATTTCCAGATTCAGGAGCATAGGTAGGAATTCTAATAAGAAGCGAATATTCTACTAGTGTTTTATCCATGTTTTATCAGATTTTGATTTCTACTCTTCGATTTTCTCTACACATCTTCAAATATTTTTTACAAGAGGCATCATTGGACCTCGGAAAGAGTTGTTCCTTATGGTTTAATTGATTTATTACTCTTAATCAAGAATGCCATTTTGCGATCAATTCAGATTAGTTAATCATTTGAAAACTCGATGAAGTTTCTCAAACCAGCATTACCTACCAAAAATAAGAACTCTCGAAATCTTCAATTTTGACAAGAGAATCATAATATCCGACCCGGAAAACCACCAGATACCAATTTTTAATAGAATAATCGGATTATAATTTAGAAACTCGTCCACTATATTAAATCCGCCATCTTGAATTTTGTAATTTTGCCAGATGTATCGTGATCTCCGATCCAAAAAACCCTTATATACTAATTTTCAATCAAATCCGACCATAAACACAAAACTCGTCCGCCATATTGGAGACGCCATCTTCAATTTCTCAATTTTGATAGGAAAATCGTAATCTCCGATCACGAAAACCCCCCGATACCAATTTTGAATAGAATCGGATCATAATTACAAAATAACTCGTCCACCATCCTCCATTTTGTTTTTTTTTCTTCAACAATTCCATAATGCATGGCCAGCGGAATTATAAACACCTGCCAAATTTCAAGTAGGTAAATACTTAGATACATACAGTCAGTAAATTAGAGGTATTACCTACCTATCCAGTTCATTTGAAAGTCCATATTGTGCAAATATTCGAATAAGTATGTATATTTTTACGTATCAATTCAGATATTCAACGAGACATTATTTATTATCCCTCCATTTTCCAAATAACTTTCCCAGATTCCACAATTGAAACTACAAATGCCTAGATAGTCGCACAATAATTCCTAGAAACAAATCGGTTCACCAATATCGGTCATCTCTCTCTAGAAATGTTGGCAACACTGTATCTAAATAGCACCAGAACGACATGCATTTGTTGCGATCCCCAGTGGCGAGTAGCGATACTATCTTATGTTGAAATCACATCCTAAATGATTATAACTATTTCCAGCAGAGGCACCACGTCCTGGAGCATTATCTAGATTTATGAGAATTTCTGTCTGAATTCATACAAGTCGAGTTTAAAAATATAATTAAATATTTTCCACGTCTGCAAAGTGATTTTAATTGTTCTCATATGTTCAATATTGTATAATCAATCAAAGTAAAGCAAACTTTTTCGCTGGTGTTGATATTATGACAAGTTTTTATAAGTTTTTCATCATAGTGAAAAATCTGTGAATTCAAAAATTATGAAAAAAATCTGGATTATTCAAAATGGCAATATCAAACTTTCTCAAGATTTTGAAGAAAATCTGTCGATCAGTTTTTGAGAAAAGTCGAAAAAATGGTGTTTATATTTTTTTTTCGAAAAAACCAGTCGACAGATTTTTTTCAAAATCTCAGAATAGATTGAAATTGCCATTTTCAACATCCCAGATTTTTTTCATGCTCTTTGAATATACCGTTTTTTTTTTGGTGGGTTTACTTGTACCTTAATGTATTTACACAGTATATTATCATAAATTTTGTGATTTGATATCATTTTGTAATCCTAGATTCATCTAATTGAAAATATCTATCTTATCAATCTGTATAGTTCATTATGTTTTGTATATTTTGGAACTGAATTAATAATAATTTTATTGAAAATGAAAGTACATTGACATAACATGTGTTTTACTGTACTTATGCCACTCCAAAGAAGTTGAGAAAGTAGTAACTACAAATAGAAGGATCTTCCAGTATACTCCTTCATCTGTGCCTCAGTGCTCATGTTTACTGTTTTTTCCTGGATTATTTTACAAGATACCTCCATAAAAATTTACAATTATGAATGAATTTGAAATCCAGGACTTTCATATATTATGTAGAAATAAATCAACAATGAGCAAAAGTAAGTAGTAACCTGGTAGGTACCTATTTTAAAAGGAATCAGTAAAGATTATAAAGTGAAACTTTGAAATTGCATCAAAAAAGAATGAGGTGTTGATTGAGGTAGTTGTGGAATTGAAATATGAATTTTGAAAACCTACAATAAAACATTACAAAACAGAAAAAAAAAGTAGAACATTTACTTATGAATAAATACAGTTTAATAATAACATACAAGCAGTAAAATTATGAAGACATTTTTCCAAGATACAATTTGAATTGTCATGGATATGTTCAAGTACCCAAATAATCATTGATATCTCCTTAAAAACTTGAATTCAACTTCAAGGAATCTGGGTTTTGGTTTCAATTTGTGTAACTATTTGCACTCAATTGCAAGATACCCTATATGGCAACTCCTCCCCTGCTGAAAAATTGAAGAAATGTTAGTACCTACTAGAAACAAACCATATCTATTAGCTATTACAAAATCTAAATATTCAGATAGAAATAGATTGTGTCACTTCAATGTATTTTCATTTTTCAAAGATTCAATTCAAGCTTTGAAGTAAGCTACCTAAAATGACCTGCTTGTACCAGGGTTATTGTATATCTATAAAATATGCTACTGTTTTTGCTCATATGAATGTAATTGGGAGCTGTATTTTAACTTAATAATTTTGAAAGTACATGCAATCTGCATTGGCTATTTTACTACAAAGATGATACTACAAAATAGGAATCTATGGAGGCCTAGGCAGGATGTCATGAACAAGATTTTTATATGAGTCAAGCATTACAAATAAAACCATAAATTACCCACCTGCACATGTTCATAATGTCTTTTTTCTTGCCCAGCTTTGTGTATTGCAGTTCAAAAGTCAAAGGCATTGAATTTGCTACTTAATTTTTCTTATAGAAATATTTGAAAGAAAAACAACCATACTTATTTTTCCAAGTCCTGGAGACATTTCCCCATAAACAAAATAGGTATGAACTGTTGATCATTTCAATCATGTACTCTCTCGGATAGGCACTGCAAATAAGAGTTATTCATCAGTAATAAATATATCAATGAATCACAAATTTACCTTATTGTTATCATTATTGGACCAATGAAGTGAAGAAAGGTAGGAAGTTTTTGTTGGAGCAGCATACATCCAGTTTTCAAACTCATATTGGATTTTCAACGTTTGTCCATTTTTTCCATTCAACTGAACTGATTTTTCATTATTAGAAAAGACTTCTTGAGTGCAGGAAATTCATATTAGAGGACATTATAGATCCTACATTTTTCCATTGGAACCTGCTTCTACTAGTTCAACCAGCAACCAAACACAGTTGATTTCGCGTATTATCAGAGATTTGTTGATACTAATTTATAAAATAATATAGAATTGATTAGGCAATTGATGTCATGTTTATGTCTTGTACTCAAGAGAAGCAAGAAGAGAAAATCAACGTAATTTGTCGAATGGTATTCATGAAATATGAAACCCACTGAACACAATAACAAACATGACCTTGAATTACGTCCTAAACTGGTTCAAATTTGCCCGCCAGGTGCCGTATCGGAATCGTCACCTTGCCAATAGAAAATGAGATATGTGAGTCATTAAATGTTAATGATGTCAAAGATTTTGCAAATGCTAAAGCGCGAAAAGTCGATTTCTACTAATTATATTATGGCTTTTTATCCTTGCAATACTTTTTTTAGTTTTTTTTGTGTTGGTCAGTTTTATATTTAGATTACATTCATTTATGTTGATATAAAAGTATGTATTATAAAATTGAGTTGCTATATTATTGAGTTTTTTATCTTGGCGTCACTAGGATGGTGGTATTGTAAATGTTTCAAAAACATAGTAAAATTACGGATTTAAGTTTTTTGTTTCCACAAAGGGCGGCAATTTCTCGTTTGCACCAGGGCGCACACTACCATAGGAACGGCCCTGTCCCCCCCTGTAAAAAATGAACACGCGATCGAATGTACCCAGTATATTATTCCGTATTCAAGTAGAGTTTATTATTACAAATTCAACAATGCTGGGTTTGATGGAATTTTTTCAAACAACTATGTAATTTTTAGTGATAATTTTTCCATGAGTTTTTTTTATGTTGTATAAAGAATAAATATTCAGAAAATAATTGTTTGAATGATGTTCTCCATAATTCTGATGTAAATGGGGCTGGGGTTAACATATCATGAATAATCCAAGTGATTTTCAAGAAATTTGAGATACTTCAGATCAGCTTCAGTGAAGTTAAATTTAATCACCCTTACTCATTAAAATAATCATACAGCCTTCAAAACAGAAATTGTAATCTACAAGGAACTGAAATAAGTGACACCTGAAATATAAAAAATCTGACATGATTGACAGCTGCCTCATAGCATTTCAACTAGGTTACATCAACTGGATCAGATTCCTCCTTCAATGGGGCCTTCATTCCTGTGTTATACTCACTAGGGTCTATATGGATGGTAACAATATGTTTACCTGGGATCATGACTAATCCTAGCATTCGAGGTTCCTCATTTGAGGAACCACCTTTACCATCAGAAGGTAAATACTCTGAGCAGGAACCTAATATTATGTTTGCATCTCTATCAGTACATAAGAATATTCCTATTAGTACTCTTCCATCGGTCATTTCTACACGAAAAGACTTATTCAACCAAGATCGGAGTTGTACAGCACCTGAAGTCATCTGAAAACATTTTATCAGCTAGGTGTCTTCAGAAAAAAAATCACTAGGTACATTTAAAGGTTGGTCCTGTTTCTTCATTGGTTCCAGTTCATTTTCAGGTGTGGTATCTTCGGAAAGTTCAGAATCCACATTGTCGCTTATACCATCAGGAATGTCTGTTTTCAATTCTTCCATAGTAGCTCAGTAGTTTGGATTTCCCCAGAGCACCAGTAGGGAAAGTAGAGATGACTTGAGAGAATTTGAATATCTCTTGCTTATTACAAGTAAATATTCCCTTGTGACATGAAAATAACATCTATATTCACGGGTGAGATGCACTCAAGCGAGCTCTCAAGTTTTTTGATATGATTGAAAAATTGTGAGCTCGGTATTTTGTTATTTTTGTTGACAAACATTAACAACTCATTCAAGTGCAGTCATTCATCAGATTTTCAGTCTCTGTCGACCCTGTCCCATGAAGCTGTGTGAAAATGACAGCCAAAGATAGCTGCCAAAATCTCCGAACATTGCCGAAGACCCAGTGGCGGACAACATGTTTTTTTCATCATGCCTTCAAATATGAAACAATATTTTGAAGGTATTCTAGTTATTTTCCTAACAAGTGCGGAAAGTAGTGTTTTCCGCATGCTACGGCAGTTGCGAGTCGTCAAGGGCGGAAAAGACATTTTCCGCAAGAGTTAGGTACAAAGTTTTGCCTATGAGTGTTTTTGTGGTCTATATTATTTATAAAAAAAAAGGTTTTTCATAACCAATAGTTTATAATGATGCTACAAAATGATACATAAGACAGAATACTTACAGGGATCATTTAGTTACTCCTAAATATCCTTATTTTCAACAATACAATAAAAATCGTGTGGAAAAGTAACTTTTCAGAACTATATATAATGTTCAAAGCCCTCAACCTCATAAGAGTTAACCATAGACGTGTTTTGGGGCTTTCATACATAAAGGCCTCCAACCCCTCCTCACAGCCTTACCCTTACCTCATAATATGTATATCAATGTTGTTCAGTATTCAATAACGATTCAATCCATATAATATGCAAGTTTAGTCATTCCAACTGATGCTACCTGTCAATTAATAATACTGCTTGCATAAGTCACAGATATAATTTTGTATAAATGACCTGTTTTGATAATCAACAATCAGCAACACATTTTTCATGGATATATCTTTTGATTATTTTGCAATATTTACATTGTACTGATGCTGCTGGTTCAAAGCTTGCAGAGCAAATGAGGCCCATATTATTAATACTATCTGACTTTTCCAACAGCAAATGTTACAGTTTCATCACGTTTCATCCTATATGGGCGGAAGTCAGATTCTTCATACATATCTTCATCTTCATTGTTATTGTTAATTATTTTATGGAACAAATCCAAGATGATTGGTCCACAGTTGTGAGAATCTTTCTGTTTGTAATGGCCATAAATGTAAATCTGTAAGTGATCAGCCGATCAGCATCTCTGGAATCATTTTCAAAATATTTATGAAAGGCCCCCATAAATTTGTTATATTAATTCAAATAAACTGTGGGTTTGGCTTCACCACAGTATACACCCTTATTAGGGTGTATACTGTGGCTTCACTAGGTTAGTGTGAAGTTATCCACGAAAATGCCAGCCACGTTTTTTGACGTGTAGGAAATCTAATGTGAATCATCAACGAACAGGAAGTTTCAGATGAGATACAGGCGAAAATGTACCTATTCAATTTAATACATTTAATCTCGCATTTAATTCACCCTATCCCCTCTACGGTGGTACAAATTCCGAAATATTTTTTTTCGAGTTCTGGGAGTATATCTTGATATTTGTGTGGCAGAATCATCAACGAACAGGAAGTTTTGAGATGAGATACAGGCGAAAATGTATTTAATTTAATACATTTAATTCACCCTGTCCCCCCTACGGTGGTACAAATTCCGAAATATTTTTTTTTTCGAGTTCTTGGAGTATATCTTGATATTTTTGTGGCAGAATCATCAACGAACAATAAGTTTCAGATGAGGTACAGGCGAAAATGTATTAAATTATATAAATTTATTTTGATTCACTGTGTCCCCTCTATGGTGGTTCAATTTCCGAAATATATTTTCTCCACTTCTTGGAGTATAAATAATGAATCAATATGTAATAAAAATGAATATCAAGCACTTTCCAAGACCGTGGAAAAGCGATAAATGCCAGCCACACATTTTCAATTCCATATCACATTAGATTTCCTACACGTCAGAAAACGTGGCTGGCATTTTCGTGGATAACTTCACACTAACCTTCACTAGTGGTAATTGGATCAATAAAACTGAAACTTTTGAGTATTACCAGACAGGTGGTTATTTCCATTGCAATGTGATCTTTGATAATCCACACCTTCTACAAAACATATTCTGTTACAGTTTCTGATTATTCATTGAATATAATATGAAGCTGTTTCCTCTGGTATTATTTGGAATGCACTTGTTTTGTGGAATAGGTACATTGAGAACAATGTCCAAGACAAAATTTTTCACCCAATCATTTCCATCAAGGGAGTGAAAGTCTGAAGCTTTGAGTTCTGGAATTGGCAATTTCACGTCCTTGTTTACACTAGAGTCACTGCGTCACTGGATGGTATTAGTTTGATAAGAGTTCGGACACAGCTGAACTTTTGTCCTTTTCTATTTTCTATAATACAATGGTTTAGGAAAGAATGAAAGAATAAGACATATATTCGGCTCTTTGTCAAGATACGATTTTAAAGGTTATATTTTCTGTCAAATCAATCATAGCCGTAGATGGACAATGGGTATAGGGTACAAACACCCAATTCAATTTATAGTGATACACTTCTAACAGAACAACTGTTATATAAATGAAAAGAATGCATGTAACAACATTTTAATATTAGAAAATATACACATATGGATGAACTTATAGCTATAATTCCTTATTATATGTGAAACTGTACTCCAGTGATGAGTATATAAAACATGATAGATAGCTATTCTCAATATACAGGAAGTAACATAAGTACTTTCAAGTGAAGTATTCCTGAGACAATTATAAGAAATAAAGTCTATATAAGCTTTTGTGTCCGGAAATGCATCATTTCGTAGATACAGAGTGCTGAAATACAAAGAAAAAATCATTTTTCGATAAACATTTGATAGGAAAAAGGTAGTTTATTTTGACGAGACCTATACCGGATACTTGGTTTTCTAAAGTTCTCAGCAACTCCACTTAGCGCCCTAGGAGCTAATAAGTAACATGGATCGATATAGAAAATATCTCCAAAACATTAACCTCCAGCGTAATTGAGGCCCTTATAATAATTCCCTTGATACATAAATAAATATTCACTGTCCACTGTTGAATTTTAAATTTGGTCGGCACCAAAAACGCCATATTCAATAATATATCACTCTGTAGTTTACTTGCTTCTCTTAGTTTCGTTTTCAAATTCTCAATTTCATTATGTAATTTTGCGATCATTTCCTCTTTTCCATGATCATTTCGTTTTGTATTTTGTGTGATGATAATAATGGAAATTTGTTCTGGAAATCGCCTGCTTTGTAAATTGATGGAACAGCAGATTAATTTATTCTCACAAACAGAATTTGAAATCTTCTGTTTGAAGATGGGCCTAAATAGTTTCATTCTAATCAGATGCTGTTATAAAAAGTGAATTTCAATGAGTACCTCACAAATTTCGCTCGTCTTCAAATTGATTTTGCACCCATCAGGCCATTTCATATCTTCCTTCCATAAGCGAATGGTTGATATTTGTTTCGGAAAATTGAATCAATGATATCCATTTTCTTCAGAATTGGCACAATTTATTACACAGCAAGTAATTTCCATAGCTGCTTTCATCTCGAATGTATAATTATGAAATTTTATTTCAATTCTGACGTTTATAAAATGTATTGTCAAATTCAAACAATTTTGAATGAAAAAGCGCGGGACGACTATGATGCTGTTGTCACAATGCAAGGTGTGAAACTTAATAAATCTAAACACTCAAAAACCCTAACCGTTGTCATTTCTGTGTCCGAACTCTTATCAAACTAATAACCATAATGCTATACTATGAGGTAACCTTATAGAAGTTAATAGACCTTGACTAATAACATCCAGTGACTCTAGTTTACACTTATTGTGTATAGTCACCTACTGCTGATTTATAGTATGTCAAATCGTTGACTATCAACTCTTCCTGAGTTTCTTCAGCAGTTATTCCTTCCACTAGCGCTGGCACCTGATATATTTGTAGTAAAACTCTTCAAGTTTTGGAAACATCTCTTTGAAAAAAGGCAATGTCTTTCAATTCGCTCTATCTTCATCCCTTTGAAGGTTGAAGGTGAAAATAACAAAATCACGCAGGTCTGTTATAACGACTTTCAATAATCTTTGGATTTGGTAGTAATGATTAATGAATACTATTTGTTTTGGAGTTTCCATCATCGTCATTGTCCAGGTATGCCAGGTCCCGTCGCATGGTGTAATCACTAATCATAATCATCTAATCAGCTCTTCAATCTTCATTTCGAATCTTTAACCGAACGCACCTAGTGGTCCTTGTAGCCATCTTAGCTGTCTATTAGTAAGTTTACGTACGAATAATATGCTGAAATCCTATTCGCACGTTTGCGTCAATGAACTCGTTGTTTACATACAGTTCATTGGTTTGCGTACGAATATGGCTGGCAGTACGTGGCAGTACCTATACATTGCCTATACGTAGGTATAAGTACGTGTAGTGTATTGTTTGCCTATCCGCACGTTTACGCACGAATATGACAGGCAACTATACGTTGCTTATCCGCAATTTTACGTAAACGTTTTCAATTTTAGAGAAATATATCAGTTGATATCGAAATTATCTTTCACTTCCATGAAAATGTTCAAATATATTTACCAACTCAAAAATTCTTGTTACTCCCAACAGATCATTGATATGAAGAAGGAATAATGTTGGTGCCAAATTTGATCCTTGTGGAATGCCGGAACTGATACCAATGGTATCAGACGATACACCGTCCACCACTTCCACCACCACGTGAAGCGACCTGCCTGAAAGAAAACTCGATAAGAGATGGCATAGCTGAGGTGCTAAGCCGTATGATGGTAGTTTGTGGAGGGGTCCTTCGTGCCAAACACGGTCGAATGCTTTCGATATGTCAGATAGTTTTTCTAATGAAGCTCATTGCCATAAATGGGCGACGTAGGCAAGTAGATCTACAGTAGATTTTCGGTGGCGAAAGCCGTATGTCTATCATTGATGATTCCTGAGCTCTCCAGATATTTGGTAAGCTCAAATATTGATGGCTTTCTTCATCACTTTGGAGATTACTGATAACAGGGCAATGGGCCTGTAGTTGTTGTTTCCTTTTTTGGGGATTGGTTGGACTCTAGCTGTCCTCCAGCATGATGGAAAAATACCCGACCTGTACGAGACGGTAAACAACTTGCAGAGATATAATTTTTGGAGATTTCAATAAGTTATATTCTTATTCAAAGATCTAAAATTGATTGACACTAACAGTTGAATAATTTTATTATCAATAAAATCATTGACATACCCCAACTATGATAACAAATAT